GACAGCCTTTGCATGGCCGCAGCCCCCTTCCAGAAAGTTGAGTGTACATTTGTATATTCAATGAATAAAAAAGGAAGTAAAGATACTTGAAGAACACAACTTATCCATAGGTGTGTTCATGATTTGGAAGTATCAGATTTATTGCAAATGGCCTGTTCTACTAGACAGGGATCATAAGATCTTCCAGAATGAAAGTTCCGTCTTTAAATCACGAGTAGCCGATACTGAGAAGTATTTTTCTGAAGTCAAGGACAAAGCGCTTCTGGTGACATGAAAAAAGTGTAAAGTATTTGCACATTGCATTTCAGTATGTGGAAATTCCATGACTGATCTGACCCGCTACTCGGCAATAAGAACCCAAGTCGTCGAATAACACAGCGATCTAAAGAATATGGCGCTGGACTTGGAAACAAGGAAGCTAAATGACATTTAGGCAGCTTTCAATGCTGTTGACAGATTTGCTCTTGCTGAAGAATAGAGCATCCAAGGAGTTTCCATTCTTAAAGGATTATACCGCCATACGTCTAGTTTCTAAAATATACCCACGAACGAACTCTAGAGTTACGAAGATCTGTTGTTCAATCGTGGTAACTGGTAACTAAGGCCCGAGGCAGAGCAGATGAGTCCTGAATGGAATAGGCATAGTTTCAAGTTAGAAGACAGAAAATAATAAAAGACAGCAATGTTGTCAGGCACCAAATATGTGTGGCAGTGATTGGTTTTGAACCATAGATCTTACGGCCCAAAGCATGTTAGCGATAACTGCACTGAATCCCCAAACCAAAAAGAGAGAACTTTCCGATTACTTAGCTGGGATCGAAATAAGTAGCGTAAATCGAACTGAAAATAGTTCACTTTGTGTTCCACGCCCTCGTGCGATGAACAGCGGATGGGGTACACTCAATGGTAACAAACACTTGCTATTAATTCATGAAAACCGGCAACACAACTCCCGGGAGCGTGGTGTGATGAACTATAAAGAAAAAACAATTTTCTGCACACCATGGGTCTTTTTCTGTTACAGCGATTAATTAGGCACACAGACTGCGCTCAGACACGCGTGGTATACTGATCAAAGTATTGAAAACCGAACTCATAGTTCGAGAGAATTGAATCAAAAATTAGCTTGTTCGCTGATATCTTCAGTGCTTCTGAAGCTGTCACCCCGGTTGGTGGTACAACATCGGCAAACAAACAAGTATGCTCCCAAGGAAATAACAAAAAAGCAGAGGACGGGGGATTGGGATAAAAACAGTGAAGTCGAAGTAAAACAGCATTGTGGAAAAGACAGATGATGAAACCACGGGTGCAAAACCTTCCTCGGCCTCCTTCCAGTGGAGAAGTGAGTACCCCACAGGTTGAATTTCTTGATTTTATACATTTTCCTGCTGCTTACGAACACAGAATGTGAACCTTGTGGAAACGCTCATTCAGCTCTATTAGCGATTGAAAATGAGGCATTCGTTCGTCTTATCCTCGCCATCGTCTAACAGGACTCTGGACGAACTTAATTAATTTGTGCAGAGTCAAAAGCACCTTATAAGTCAAAGAGGCGTAGTGAATTATTTCCTTGAAAAAGAGAGGTATTTCGTCTAATAAACAGTTTCACCACCTTCCCACACAGAACCTCGAACCACGGCATTTTTACAAAGAGCATGTCCAAACGGATTTGTGAGCACCGCCCTGTGGCTGGACACCAGAACGGTAAGGTCACTCATCAGAGTTCAGCGGTTTCACATCTAGCTTAAACAAACCAGTGAACGTGAACGAGGCTTTCCACCCCCTGTATAAAGTTCATGGGTGATTATCGATGCAGGTTTGCTGTCGGATGCTAGCCACAGCAGAAGCAGTAGAAATTCATTTGCACAACTCCCCTCAGTGTGCCCCGAAAAATTTTGTGCAAGCGCTAAAGCTTCCCTAGCACACCCCACACACTGTATCAAGAGTGATCTCGAAGATCGAATGAATGGTTAAACATGATCGTGGTGAATCCGATTGCCGATCTTACGATAAAATCTGTGATGTGATTTTATTTTCCCAAGATAATTTTATTTCCAGGTAGTGAAATATATTATGGTGAATGAATGCGTATTAATGAGAACGAGCCAATCTGTTTGATTTGAGAAGCTGTATGCTACCGAGCGCGTCCCCAGGTCGCGGATAGGGGAACGGCCGTCATCTCACGGTTAACCGTGAATAAGGTGGGCCTCGGCCCTCCTAATAAACGGTCGCGGACGATCAGCGCCGCGCTCAACGATGTGGTGGGTTTACCACTTGGCAAGGGTTCTCCGTACAAAACGCCACATATATCTGCGGACANGGCCCGCCACTAAATAAGGTCATTGCTCCTTGTCAAGATCCATTGCTCGACAAGGCTTTCCAGAAGAGGCGAATGAACCAACTACTGGCCACCGGCTCATCTGGAA